AACATGTGCTTGCAGCACACGGCGGTCTACTACGTAGCAAGGTCCTTGGTTCCACATGGCATGCAGGAGGACATTGACCTGTTGACAGGCTTGGAAGTCAAATTCCCGCGACGATTTCCTGAGCTTGTGGCTAGCAGCCCAGGACGTAGCAACGCGCTTCGACATCTTTTCCGATCTCTTCGGGAAGCTCAATGCGCTTGGTGGACGGTGGTCGGCACACGAAGTAGTTTTTGAGCACACGATGCAGAAGACGGGTCTAGTCCGAGCTTTCTTGGGTGCCCCTGTCCCTAGCCGCTACCACAGCCAAAGGCTCAATCAGCAGCACTCCACGACCGCATCACATGCAATGGGCAGCGCTGCAACGATCGTTCAGGCGCCGCTTAAGGAAGCCTCCGCAGAAGAGGCGGACGGTCAGGAAAACTAGGCACTCGAACGGAACATGGGCTAAAATGCTTAAATCAATGGGCGATTCCATAGATGTATAGTGGTTGGACAATTAGGACGTACTGTTAGGGTTTACAGGCATTTGATGGCCTGGAACAGGACGAAGAGTTTATTCACTTTCAAGAGCATCAACAAAAAACAGACAAGAATCACAGAAAACGTTCAAGAGGTGAAAGCACATATTATCGACGAGCTGACAGAAGATGCTCTGAAGAAGCTGACGTCCGCTATCTCGCTTGCTTCACAATCGAAACGGAAGAGTCGATATGGTGGCTCCTACCTCATTCACTGGGACACGACACTTTGCCATTGGTTTAGGAGTGCCTTCATTTACTCGTCGGACCGGTTTTGCCGAGGTCAGATACTTGTGCAGCGGGTTGCGCTAGTACTGGCGATCACCTTGACTTGCGCAAATGAGGACCCGTGCCTTTGAAGGGAAGTATTCCGAGCAGGACTTCGTTGCACATGATGGTGACCGTCGTGAAGTTTCCAAAAGCGACATCTACAAGCTCGGAGAGGAATGGCGTTGCGATGACCGGGTATGGGCTTACTGGACGAAGGACAACAAGTACCTCAATTCGGGCAGGGTGACGTCTGTTGGTGCTGAGACGCCCCCATGAGATTATTATTGGAGATGTAGGGCCTTGTTTGGGGCCTTGTAGCGCGGATATATTGAAGAAGGATTGAGCAATACCAAGTTTGTGATTTTGTTTATGCGCTGGTGATTGTTGGCAGTCCTGGGACGAGATCAAGTTCATCAGTGGCATACTTGGGATATAATATAGTCTTCAGTAGGTTTTTGTTACTTGCGCACGCTGTCCTTCCAAACCCTGCCAGCTAGGAAAAGCTACGTCGAGTTTGACGACGGGGACAAGGGCTTACTCCCGAATGACTGGATCCATAAAATGGTGAGGGTTGGCGGCGGGGTTGCGCGATATGGCGGCTCTTACCTCATTCACTGGGATTCGACGCTTGGCCATTGGTTTAGGAGTGCCTTCATTTACTCGTCGGACTGGTTTTGCCGAGGTGAAATATTTAGTTGGGCAGCGTCTTACGCTAGAACTGGCGATCACCTTGCGCAAATGAGGACCCGTGCCTTTGAAGGGAAGTATTCCGAGCAGGACTTCGTTGCACATGACGGTGACCGTCGTGAAGCTTCCAAAAGCGACATCTACAAGCTCGGAGAGGAGTGGCATTGTGATGACCGGGTATGGACTTACTGGACGAAGGACAACAAGTACCTCCATTCGGGCAGGGTGACGTCTGTTGGTGCTGAGACGCCCCCATGAGATTATTATTGGAGATGTAGGGCCTTGTTTGGGGCCTCGTAGCACGGATATATTGAGGAAGGATTGAGCCATACCACGTTTGTGATTTTGTTTGTACGCTGGTGATTGTTGGTAGTCCCGGGACGAGACCAAGTTCATAAGTGGCATACTTGACATATATTCTTCAGTGGTTTTTGTTACTTGCGCACACTGTCTTTCCAAACCCTGCCAGCTAGGAAAAGCTATGTCGAGATTGACGCCGGGGACAAGGGTCTAGTCCCGAATGACTGGATCCATAAAATGGTGAGGATTGGCGGCGGGGTTGCGCGATATGGCGGCTCTTACCTCATTCACTGGGATACGACGCTTTGCCATTGGTGTAGGAGTGCCTTCATTTACTCGTCGGACTGGTTGTGACCAGGTCAAGTATTTAGTTGGGCGGCGTCTTACGCTAAAACTGGCGATCACCTTGCGCAAATAAGGACCCGTGCCTTTGAAGGGAAGTATTCCGAGCAGGACTTCGTTGCACATGACGGTGACCGTCGTGAAGTTTCCAAAAGCGACATCTACAAGCTCGGAGAGGAATGGCATTGTGGTGACCGGGTATGGGCTTACTGGACGAAGGACAACAAGTACCTCAATTCGGGCAGGGTGACGTCTGTTGGTGCTGAGACGCCCCCATGAGATTATTACTGGAGATGTAGGGCCTTGTTTGGGGCCTTGTAGTGCGGATATATTGAGGAAGGATTGAGCAATACCAAGTTTGTGATTTTGTTTATGCGCTGGTGATTGTTGGTAGTCCTGGGACGAGATCAAGTTCATCAGTGGCATACTTGAGATATAATACAGTCTTCAGTAGGTTTTTGTTACTTGCGCACGCTGTCCTTCCAAACCCTGCCAGCTAGGAAAAGCTACGTCGAGTTTGACGACGGGGACAAGGGCCTACTCCCGAATGACTGGATCCATAAAATGGTGAGGGTTGGCGGCGGGGTTGCGCGATATGGCGGCTCTTACCTCATTCACTGGGATACGACGCTTTGCCATTGGTGTAGGAGTGCCTTCATTTACTCGTCGGACTGGTGTGACCAGGACCAGTATTTAGTTGGGCGGCGTCTTACGCTAAAACTGGCGATCACCTTGCGCAAATAAGGACCCGTGCCTTTGAAGGGAAGTATTCCGAGCAGGACTTCGTTGCACATGATGGTGACCGTCGTGAAGTTTCCAAAAGCGACATCTACAAGCTCGGAGAGGAGTGGCATTGTGGTGACCGGGTATGGGCTTACTGGACGAAGGACAACAAGTACCTCAATTCGGGCAGGGTGACGTCTGTTGGTGCTGAGACGCCCCCATGAGATTATTGCTGGAGATGTAGGGCCTTGTTTGGGGCCTTGTAGCGCGGATATATTGAGGAAGGATTGAGCAATACCAAGTTTGTGATCCGTTTTATGCACCGGTCAATGTCATTGTTTGTAGTCCTGGGGCTATTTGCTACTTGCGCACGTGTCTTGCCAAACCTTTCAGTTAGGAAAAGCTACGTCGAGTTTGAGGATGGAGACAAGGGCTTAATCCCGAATGGCTGGATCCACAAGGTGCTCAGCCATACGCCTGCAAGCAATGGCAATGAATCGAATCTGAGCAACAATGCTTGATGATGTTTGCCGGCTGTATTTCGTGCAGACATGGCAGCGCAGCTGTCAAGCCGAACAGCAGTAGTTGCACTTGTGAAACTCGTGCCGGCCATGAATGGCGTTATGGTGTTCTCTTTGTATTGCTTCTCACGTGTTCCTGCTTTTCCCAAAACGGGGAGAGTTTGACAGCGTTCTTGACTGACCAACAGTTGCCCGTCGCGCTTCCCGAACCGGGATTAGCGCAGGAATGGCGGATTGGCACAGGAATGGCAGCCTTGAAGAACGATGCTTGGACAATGGGCCCATCTGCACAACCCGTGGCTCCAAGCATTCCGGGCAAGTCTGAGTGGGTGTCTTGCAGAGCGGCAGGATGCCAATCGAAGCCGGCTCTTCGCACGGGCTTGATCGACGAGGCTCCGGGGACGGTGCAGCCAGGCCAGGAAGCCGCTGTGTTGAGTCTCGTGGGCACAGCTTGCCTAGATCAGGCGGTTTATGCGGACGGGGTGCTGTCCCCGATCGTGGACTTCTCTCAGGTCACCTCAAGAAGCTTTGGGGACTGCCAATGTTTAGCGAAATCCTATGACTTCGCGTGCAGGAGCTGCTTCTCATCAATGCGACTTGCGCCATGGACTGATGGGCGATTCACCTCGCGTTCCAACATCGCGCAGCGGCAGCCAAAACGACGTGCTTGCCGATGACGGCGCGTGTGGTCCCTTGCTCAAAGCCCAAAACACCATGCTGCAGAAAGTCAGGAGGGAAACGGGAAATTCCGAGCCAATCTTTCCCCGGATGGGCCCGAGCCTCAAAGCTTCTTCAGAGATCGTGTCACCCTGAGACTTGCGGGTGTGGCGAGGCGGAGTTTCACTGGAACTGCTCAGCTTGACCCAGTTACATGCGAGAACCTCTGCCTTTTGAGGAGATGGCCCTCGGTCATGTGGCACGGGAACAGCCGACATAATTCAGAAAGCAAGATGCACCAGAGGTGTTTCCTTCCACGCCACCAGGAACCGAGACGAAGGACACTTCCATGTCGCATATTGTTTCTAGGCGAGTCCCTGCAGATTCAATGCTTGCAGGAACTCAGCTGCCTGCAGCTCAGCCGGATGTTTACGGCGCAGCAGCGCATCGTTTGCCGAAGTTTGGGTTAAGGCGGTCAAAAGCATGACGCGCCCTAACGCAGAAGTAGCCCCCGGCCCCAACAGGCAAAGGAGCCCTCAGAACTTTCGCTCTCCGAGGCAAACGGTCACCGTGATCGAGAGCCAAAGCCGAGACTCGATTCGATGCCCTGTACCTCTCATGCAGGCCCACATCACATGAAGCGCATGGCGGCAGCATCGAAGAATGACAGTGATCTGGTGGGTGGCGCTTTCAGGCCCACATCCCTGGGCTGTCACAGCAGCTTGCACCGGTGCCAGCCACGGAGTGTACAGCTTTTGAGGGCCCCGGGGCTTTAGTCCGCCGGCCGAATTTCTTGAATGCTTCTCGCAGACATTTGTTGCTCTGGAGGGTTTTTTTAATCCAAGAGAAGCCCGCAGCCTTGCTGGGGAAGGCGGGAGGAAGACAGAGTGTCGCCATGCGGGTTTGTGCCGTCTTCCACCGGACAGGACATGCTCTCCACCATGCGACGCGTCGGCGCTGGGCGCCGGCAAGTGGCAAGCCTGCAACATAAACGAGCAGTGATCCGATGCCCTGAAAGAAGCCAGTTCCTTCAAATTAGGGGCCTAAGCTGGACCAGAGTGCTGCTCGTAGATGCGTATCCTTTGCTCCCTTCCAGGTGGCCTCAGCATTACGACGCTCCCCGCACTTAAAGCATCTTGGTGGTCAGATTCAGGAAGCTCCGCCGGGAAATTTCACATGAGCTCCCTCCAGCATGAGCTTCGGAGTCAGGGCGTTTCTCTTGGAGCCTGTCATCCGAGTGCTGCGACTAAGGAGCCGGTCAGGCCTACGTTTCTGTAGTGGACGCTTGGCGTGAATTTTCTGTGGAAAGTCTCCGTGATCTCACCACAGCCACAGTGCACCGTTCCATCGAGGTGAGGGCAAGCCTCCAAAAGGTTTCGAGGGCTTCTACAAAGGCAGAACCAAAGAGGCAGCTGGAAACGGGCATGGATGTCATGTCTGAGCATTTCGATGCACAATCCTTTTTATTAAATCAACTTAGCTCCTCAGCTCAAGCTGTGGGGCTGTGGGATTTGTTCGCCCGCATGCGCAGGCCGGAAGAGGTGAGACTTCAGGAGGAAAGGCGGCCACCTGGCCTGCTTTGTGTAGAACAAAGTGTCGATTGGTCATGTGAGCCAGAAGTTTCCAAGGAGCCGCCCAAGCAGACCGAAGCCAGCAAGAGACTTTTCCGCACTCCAGTGGTACTGACCCACCTCCACCGTTCGAGCGTCATGCAGATAAGGGCTTCTTACCAAGAGCTTTCTTTTTTCTCTCTCTCTCTCTCTCTCTCTCTCTCTGCTATTGTTCAGGGTCCGCAGCTGTTTGAGTGACTCCGTCGTGGTCGGTTATGGCCATGAATTTCGTGCACCTTTGCCTCAAGCATGTGTGCATCCAAGGAGCGGGCCAAAGGAGACACCAGAGACTCGCCTCCACTGCATGTCTAGGCTTGCGAGAGCTGGTTCTTTGAACCGGGCGGAATTGTCCGAACTACCGTATTTGCGCGCGCACGCGCATGTGTGTTGTGTGCATCGGTCTGTGTGCAGTGAGACCGAGAGCCAGAGAGTCACAGAGAGTAACCAAATGAATGGCTTGCGGGGCCTAGCGGGTTACGATGAGAGATTTGCATCAATGCGGACATTGCCTTACTGGGATCAGTAGTGTGCAGGTCAATGCGAGAATAAGTTTGAGGTTGAGTGTGAGCGAAATTTGCAAGCTTGAGTGTGAGTGTCGTAAAGCTGCAGGGCTCTTAGATTCTCCCCCAGGGCCAAAGCAGAAGTGTGTGCCGGAGTGTGGGCAGCAAAGGAAAATCCCAAAGCTGAAGAAGTCAGCAAAGAGAGGCGACGCTGCAGAGTTCTGCTCTCACAGACTCCTGTGCACGTGCCATTGGTTTTCGAGGCAAAGCGGTCCTAAAGAAACTCCAGCAACTTGGCACTGCACCTCATTTTGAGCCTATAAGCGCCGGTTCAGAACCCTGTTCTCTGGTTGTGCTGCTCTTCCAGCTTGGTTGTAGTCCTTGTTCGCCGTTCGTGGTGCTTGAAGATGTGCAGGCAGAAGAAAGCGGGAAGCACAAGGCTCAGGCGGAAGGACGGGGGACGCCTCCAAAACACTGAAAATACCGCTCATCCACTGAAGCCCGTCAGCACGAGCTTCGAGCGACTCAAGGAAAGGCCGAAGGAAAGGAGGGCCCTGAGAAGGGCAAGGACAGAACTTTATCACGGCTTGCTGGCAAGCAGTCTCAACGCACGATCACTCTGGAGGGTCCTTGGAATGTTGCGTGCTCACCGGATGTTTCAGGAGACACCAGAAGCCCAGAGGCACCGGAGATGTTTGTGAGGGTGAGAGAGATCGCCGAACATGCTGTTAGTCCGTTAGTCCTCGTCTGTCCAAAGAGGATTTTGTTGACAGATCACCGACTGGCAGTACTCACACGAAAGCCTATTGACACAACTGGTACTGGAGGTCACCACATTTTGCAATTCGACTTATCTTATAGATGCTAAGGCCTGTAGATCATTTCAACACTCACCGGCAGGATGAGACTTATGGTGCTGGCAGCTGGAGGCATCCGAAATATCAACTTTCAGGTTCCAGTTCTGTCTCGAGACAGTACAGGTGCTTTGGCGTTTGGCTCGTCGTTCTTCCTGGCCGGCGACAGTGACAATGGCGGGCAGGAGGCACAAGGACATGTAGACAGCTGCTGGCAACAAGCATCGCGTTCGTCGGTTGTTGATTCGTTCATGGTGAGAAATGATGCTGCGTAGTCCCTGAATTATGCCGCCGGACAATCCGAAATAGGCAGCGGGAGCTCATGTAGCTGTAGCTGGTAATCGGTTGGTCAGGCAGGTTGCTTTGCGTTGGGTACTCACTGACATGCGACTGCCGACTTTCGGTGAGACTCGAGCTGCATCTGTCGTAGAGAGAGACGCTGGGTTCCTCTAGTGGCTCTAGTGCAGCGTCGGCATTCACAATCCACCAGCAAGCAGGTAGCTTTAAGTAACTAGCTTTTGTCTTCGGAACCGAAGCTTCAGCGTTTGGTAGTGGAGAAGTCTGGGCCGAAGGGTCGGCAGGGGCCATGGCTCCATGCTGGAAGTGTCGATCAGCCTTGTGTCTCGAGACCGGCCGGAACTTCTGGACCATGCTCTGGGCCTTATCGACAAGCAGGACTACCCACAAGAGAAGATAGAAGTGCTACTCGTAGACTCCTCGCAGCAGCCCTTGGATTCATTTATTCGTAGAAGATGGCACGACCGGAAGCTTTACTCCAGGATTCGATATTTTCACTTGCAGGAGCCAGTGACAATTGGCGAGAAGAGGAATTTCGCAGTAGAGCAGGCGCGAGGATCCGTGATTCTGCAGTGGGACGACGACGACTACTACGGCCCCACACGCTTGCGAGAGCAAGTTGACCCGATATGTCGAGGCCGTGTAGCGTGCACGGCCCTGACCTTTGGTATTTGGTATTTTCTGGACGAGGACGAGTTCTGGATCGGGTCTCCGGAAGGCCGAGGTGGCGATGGTCATCCCGGCACACTCGCATTCAGGCGTTCCCTCTGGTCGCCCTGGGATGCAAAGCGACAATACCCCTGCACAAACTTTGCCGATCCGGATGAGTTCCAGTCAGCTTTGGTAGATTTCTGTCAGGCCAGCACAGAACTGATTCCTGCAGCACGGGTAGACTTTGTCTATGTACGCCACCAGCATGCAGCCGCGGCTGCAGCAGGCGGCCTGAAGCTGGGACTGGAGGAGTGCTTTCTGGGGGTTTACTACGAGATCTTGAGCATCCGTGCCTTCGGGAAACGGATTGCCCGACCGGAGTTTGTGCCATGGGGCACGAGCTACGTTTGGTCACGGGTACGTGGACCGGCGCCAGACTGGTCCAAAATCTTAACCGGGTATGACGAAGGCGGCGGCGGGAAGCTTGATCGGTTAGGCCAGTGCACCGCAGCTGCCATTGAAGTCTTGCATGGCCACCTACAGAAGTTTGCTGAAGACGATCTGAATGGCTGGATGACGAAGCCTAGCTTCGATGGCTCGAGGCGGCGTGAATTGATGAAGGAGATCTTCCTGAAAGACATGATTCCGGCACTCATGATGCGATTAATCCAGCTTCCAGGTCAGTTCCCAGCCTCCACTTTACAGCTGGCGGTCGCCATCTGCAGGAAGTTGAGCGCACACCCTGGGTCTGGTCATGAGTTCCGGGTCATGGCTGAGGATTTAAAGGTGCACTTGGAACTTCACAAAGAGTCGGAGTCCAGCAACGAAGAGACCGTGTATGCTGGCACGCAAGTCTGGCAGATTGCAGACTGAACGCGTGCGGTGGCATCCAGAGTAGGTCAGTAGGCCATAGTATTCTCATTGTTCCGATGTCTGGCTTGAGCTTTGCGGCAGCTGCGAGTCCTTTGCCCATTTCTGTTGGCATGGTGCGGAGGGGGGTGCGGTAACAATCAGGAATCTGCAGATGCCGTGTTTTTCTGCGCAGACGACTTTCCAGCTGCCGTTTCACTTGGACGACAACAACCAACACCGGCTGTGTGCAGGTGTTTTGAAGCCTTGAGAGTTTGGTGCCATGCGGTCTTGAAGGCTCAGAAAATGTTTAGCGAGCTTCGCGGTGGGTTGTGGGGGTGGGGCGGGATGGTGGTGGTTGTGGTGGCTGGGTGCTGCTGCTGTCGTCGCTGCTCTTGTAGTTTGTAGCAGTCGCGTTGATTGTCTTGACGGGTTTTGGAAGTTGGCGAGTGGCGACGGTGGTGGCCGCGGTAGTTCGTACTAGGGGTTCCGTGTCGTCTTGGCAGCGGTGCCGAAGGTTGCAGGTGCAGCCAGCGAGGCTTCAGTCGTGATGCTGCGGTGCTGGTGTACCGATGGTGGTTTTCGGTCATATCACTGTTGCCCGCTGCTGCTGCTGCTGCTGCTGCTGCACCAGCTGCTGCCACTTGAAGCCCCGAACACAGAGACAGAGCTCAGCAGCTCGTCGATCTTCGTTTGCTTCTTGGCAGGTCACGATGCAGGAAATGCTGCGCGAGTACCTCATGAAAGGTAAGGTAGAGAAGATCCAGCCTCTGGGCTCAAGTTGGTCCTCCCGGAATCTCGCGGCTCTCTCAATGCGTGCACCAAGGATTGTGAACCAGGGTCTCGCGCGAGTATATCTACGCAAGGACACTGCTGGGCCGGAGGTTGTGACGATCAACTTGGGCCGGCCCGAAGCCTTCGAGACGAAGCTGGAGACTCCTGGCTTTCGCCGGGAAGGCGCTTTCTTCCCAGCCGTGTTGGTTTGACCTGGAGCCAAGGAATGTGCAAAATGAGCTTGGTGTTGCACAGCTGGACCACATTCCAATCCAGTACGTCTATGAGATTCTCTGCTAGCACATTTTCCGGCTCTTTCCCTTGTTTCATTTCGCCAGGGGTGTCGCGCAAAGTCATTGCCGTCGTCCGAGGACAAACTATATTGGCGAGATTTTGCCATATGTTCCTTCTCTTCTGTTCTTGCTTCCGCTTCTATGGGTAAGCAGGCGCGGGGAACGTGAACAGTTCGTGCCACTAAGACTCTACTACCTGGGGTGACTCAACCCTTGGTTTCCAAAGCACCTAGGAGTCTCGGAAGCGGCTTGCCCGGCGCTGGTGGGCCGGGTGGGCGCAATGTCTTTAGCATGGGGAAGGCACCTTAGGGCCTTCGGATTGAGTGCAGACTCTGAACTGCCATTCTTTTCTGGCTGGGAGGCGTTTCCATCACAAAAGAAGGATGTAAAGTCGAAGATCAGGTTCACGGATGTAGCCGGTCTGGATCAGGCGAAGGCCTCGCCGTTTCTGTCCTACACTTACTGTTGTCGGCTTTTGCTGTCTCTTGCGCGCGCGAACATGTTTGGCTTTGCTTCTTTGGGCGCACCTTGGTTGCTGACAAGAGCAGGCGGAGGTCGTCGAGTTCGTGGACTTCCTCAAGAGTCCGAAGAAATATGAAAAACTTGGAGCTCGCGTGCCCAGAGGCATCTCAAAGCGCAGTTTGGACGTCGCGCACATCTGTGTGCTCGCTTGAGCAAGGTGGACTGTTCGTGGGACCTCCTGGAACTGGGAAGACATTGCTAGCAAAGGCATAGAGGGGTTGCTCCCTATGTCAGTGTGTCGTGCGGTTTTGTCGTGAGCTAGAGGCTGTTGCAGGAGAGGCTGACTGCCCTTTCTACTCGATGCAGCCTGGCTTTGAACCCCCTGTCATCGATTCGACAACAAGGCATGCTCTTTTACTGCTAAGGAGCGGCTCTGACTTCGTGGAGATGTATGTTGGCGTGGGTGCCTCCCGCGTCAGAGATCTTTTCAAGCAAGCCCGAGATTCAGCGCCTGAGTGAAAACATAGAAACTTAGCCACTGACGGAGTGACTAGCTGTCGGCACTCCCCCGATCGGGGCAGCAATCGCCAAAGCGTACCATAGATTTCAGGCACCCTCGATCATTTTCATTGATGAGATCGACGCGATAGGGCGCAAGCGAGGAAAGGGCGGCTTCACCGGCGGGAATGACGAACGTGAGAGCACGTTGAACCTCGATAATTCGTCAGCTTTTTTGTTTTCCCTGTGTCGCGCTTGTTGGCCTGATTGACGCTCAACGAACCCCGCGCCTGCAAAGGAATCAGATGTTGGTGGAGATGGATGGGTTTACATCCTCCACAGGTGTGGTGGTGCTTGCTGGCACGAACCGCGTGGACATTCTGGACAATGCCTTGCTGAGACCGGGACGTATCTCGAGTGCACAGACCTAGTTATGAAATAGTTCTGAAATGCAGTCGAGAAGCATGATTCTGTTCACTTAGTCTCCTAAGCACGTGCAGGTTTCGACCGACAGATTGCGATTGACAAGTGTCCGGTCTGCATCAAGCAAGGCAAGCACACAGCGCGGTTGTCGCATTTCCGGCCATGCATGTGAGGCCAGACATGGCTGAACGCGAAAAGATTTACATGGTGCATCTGAAGCCTGTTAGGCTGGAGAAGCTTGTCATGTCTGAGGAAAAGTTGTTTTGAAAAAGGTTACCTCAAAGAAACATCGCGAACTAAGGGAAGGCCTGAACATGGAAGATGTCGCTAAAAGAATGGCCACATTGACACCTGGATTTGCCGGGGCTGACATTGCCAACGTTTGCAATGAGGACAGTTTCCGATGCAGCTTCTGGAGTGACAGCTTGTTTGTGCAGCTTCGGCGTTGCATCCGGTGAAGGCGGCCATTTTCGCAGCACGTCGGAAAGCCGAGTCGGTCACCATGGATGACTTTGAGCGCGCGACCGAGCGCGTGATCGGAGGCCTGCCGAAGACGAACAGCCTTATGACGCTTGGATTCGGATGTCGTTTTGGCCACCAACCCCTTCAGCACACGACCTCAAGTTGACAAAATCAGAAGGACAATGAGCAAAAGCAACTGTACAAATTCAGGCAGGCTGAAGAAGCTGAGGACTCGGTAGTTCAGAAGCTTTTTGCTGCGGATTGCGAGATATGTGCAAGAAGTTAAGTTTCCAATGGTCCATATGCTGAGCAAGCAGGAAGAAAGAGGGAGAAACAGGAACTTGAAGCAAGCCTCAGTGCATGTGGAGTTGAACCGGCGGCAGTTGGCCGGGCTTTACAAGAAGGGGGAGTGTGGCCAGTGTCCAACTTGCTGGCCGTTGGTTTGTCCCTGCTTGGACCCCTGGTTTCTGGACCTACATATCTTGGCCGAACACATTTCGGGAAAGATTAGCGCAAATTGAACACTGGGTGTTCCGATCGGTTCCACGCGGCTGTGATTTCTCGGTTTACGTGACGGATCGCGCAAAAACGCAAAGACAAGCCACATCCCCCATCAGTCAAGTTCCCCCGGAGCTCCTTCATGAGTCATAGACTTGGAACAAGAAGATGTTGTCAAGCAGGAATGTCCTACCATGCCATGAATCGATCTCAGGGTACATAGGCACAGGAGGCGGTGACACAGCATCACCAGTTCGGGAGGCAGGCTCACAGAGTGCGTGCCGCAACAGACTGCTGTCGTTCCTGGTCGGGGGCCATTTGTGCCGAATTTGAATTGTTCTTCTTGCTTTCTCTGGAGTCAGCCAAACAGGCAGAGAAGTAGCAGCCGAGCCAGCAGCAAGCAAGCATGCACCGAAGGGAGCAAGCAAGCGAGCAAGCAGGTAGGCAAGCAAGCGATCAGCTACCAATGCTACGACTGCGACTACTGCTAGTTGCAGAACACTACTGCTACAGCTGCTGCTGCCTAGTGCTGTCACAACTACAGCCAATACTGCTGCTGCTGCTGCCACTACTACTACTGCTGCTTCTACTGCTGCTGCTGCTACTACTGCTACTACTACTACTACTACTACCACCACCACCGCTACTACTGTTAATGCTGCTACTGCTGCTGCTACTACTACTACTACTACTACTACTGCTACTACTCATGCCAAGTGGGTGGCAAAAACTACTACTACCTCTACTACTACTACTACTACTACTACTACTAGTACTAGTACTAGTACTAGTACTAGTACTAGACTAGTACTAGTACTAGTACTAGTACTAGTACTAGTACTAGTACTAGTACTACTACT